TTCTTTCTTTAGCTAATCTTTCTTTCTTTCTTTAGCTAATCTTTCTTTCTTTCTAACAAATCTTTCTTTCTTTCTAACTAATCTTTATTTTTTCTACCTATATCTATCTATCTATTTATCTATCTATCTATCTTTCTTTCTAACTAATCTTTCTTTCTTTCTCACTAATCTTTCTTTCTAACTAATCTTCCTTCCTTTCTTTCTTTCTTTCTTTCTTTCTTTCTATCTAACTAATCTTTCTTTCTTTATTTCTACCTATTCTTTCTTTCTTTTTTCTTCCTTTTTTCTTTCTTTCTTTCTTTCTTTCTTTCTAACTAATATTTATTTCTATCAAACTAATCTTTCTTTCTATCTAACTAATCTTTCTTTCTTTCTACCTATTATTTCTTTATTTCTTTGTAACTTTTCTTTCTTTCTATCTTTCTAACTAATCTTTCTTTCTTTTTTCTTTCTTTCTAACTAATCTTTCTTTCTACCTACTCTTTCCTTTTTTCTTTATCACTTTTTTCTTTCTTTAGCTAATCTTTCTTTCTTTCTAATCATTCTTTCTAACTGATCTTTCTTTCTTTCGAACTAATCTTTCTTTCAAACTAATCTTTCTTTCTTTCTTTCTTTCTAACTAATATTTATTTCTATCAAACTAATCTTTCTTTCTTTCTACCTAATCTTTCTTTCTACCTAATATTTCCTTCTTTTTTCTTTCTTTCTAATGTTACGGTGTTATTCATTTTGTCATGTTTCTGGTTTGTGGTTTCTCTGTCTTTGGTCTTTTATTCAGTTTTTGCCTTGTTTATTGTAGTCTGTAGTCATGTTCATTATTAGGTCCTTTGGTTCAGGTGTGTTTCCCTGTTAATTGTTATGGCTCTGCTCGTTGTTCTGATTTGCCCCAGCTGTGTCTTGTTCCCTGATCACCTCTGTGTATTTAAATCCTGTCTGCTCTTTTGTTCTTGGTCAGTTATTGTATGTATGAATGAATGTATTTTCGAGTGTCTTGCCTGTTCTGAGTTTTCCCTAGTTTGTATTATTAAAGTCTACTGCTGCATTTAGATCCGCCTACTGCCTTTGCTTCCACGCAAACCGTAACAGAATAACTGACCCACTAGGATCTAGCAGCCATGCCTACCTGGAGTCCTGATGTCCAGATCCTCCGTCTTCGCCAGGAGAATCGCGCCATCGAGGATTATGTCGCAGAATTCCTCGAGCTGGCATATCTCGCGCAAATGAACACCCACGGCCTGAAGATCTTCTTCCGCGGAGGATTATCGGAACCACTTCGGTCTCTGATGCCCGAACCTGGTCCTCACGGATCTTTAGAATGGTACGTTGACCTGGCCCTGTTGTGGAGCGGTTCCCCGTTTACTGTGGGCGTGGAGGAGAAGCTGCGAGAGCCTGCGCTTAACGTCAGCCCGGTCGCGCCCGCGCTTCACTTCAGCTGCTCAGCCGAGACCACGCTCCACAAGCCTGCGCTTCACGTGAACCGAGTCGAGCCCGCTTTCCACGACATGCCTGAGCTTCTTCCTGCCGAGACCGACATGCCTGAGCTTCTTCCTGCCGAGATCGACATGCCTGAGGCTGAGCTTCTGTCTTCCGAACCCGCACGTCGCTTCAGCCTCGACGAACCCGAGTCAAGTGAGTCAAGTGCCGCCGAGTCAAGTGAGACCGCGCTTCCCGAGTCAAGCGAGTCAATTGCCGCCGAGTCAAGCGAGTCAAGTGCCGCCGAGTCAAGTGAGACCGCGCTTCCCGAGTCAAGTGAGTCAATTGCCGCCGAGTCAAGTGCCGCCGAGTCAAGTGAGTCAAGTGCCGCCGAGTCAAGTGAGTCAAGTGCTTCCGAGTCAAGTGAATCAAGTTCCGAGTCAAGTGAGTCAAGTGAGTCAAGTGAGTCTACCGAGTCAAGTGAGTCTACCGAGTCAAGTGAGTCTACCGAGTCAAGTGAGTCTACCGAGTCAAGTGAGTCTATCGAGTCAAGTGAGTCTACCGAGCCAACTGAGTCAAGTGAGTCTACCGAGTCTACCGAGTCAAGTGAGTCTACCGAGTCTACCAAGTCAAGTGAGTCAGGCCCAGTGACGCGTCGTCGCAGGAGGAGAAGGAGATCTCGTTTGCCTCGCCAGGCTCCGAAGGGCGTTCCCAGACTCCTCGCCCTGCCGGCCCCGCCTCTGCGCCTCGCCCTGCCGGCCCCGCCTCTGCGCCTCGCCCTGCCGGCCCCGCCTCTGCGCCTCGCCCTGCCGGTCCCGCCTCTGCGCCTCGCCCTGCCGGCCCCGCCTCTGCGCCTCGTCCTGCCTGCGCCCTTCAAGCTCCGGGAGGCCTGCCCGGAACCCATTTACCACCTGGAGGTTCCTCCCGAGGATTTCCCCAAGTATTTTTTGGGGGGGGGCAGAAGGTACTCCTCATCCTCGTCTGAGTCTGCTCCGACCTGGCCACCATCTCATCGTGCTCCGCCCTGGCCTTTGCCACGCCATGCTCCACCCTGGCCTTTGCCACGCCATGCTCCACCCTGGCCTTTGCCACGCCATGCTCCACCCTGGCCTTTGCCACGCCATGCTCCACCCTGGCCTTTGCCACGCCATGCTCCGCCCTGGCCTTCGCCTCGTCCTGCTCCGCCCTGGCCTTCGCCTCGTCCTGCTCCGCCCTGGCCTTCGCCTCGTCCTGCTCCGCCCTGGCCTTCACCTCGTCCGGCTCCGCCCTGGTCACCGGCCCAGTCTGGTCCATCCACGCTCTGCGGCCCAGGCCCGCCTTGGCTACCTCCTGGTCCCGTTCCCCTGCACGGGCCTGGCCCTCCGTCCCTCCCCCAAGACCGCCTCCGCTTCACCGCCCTCCTGAACTTTTTTTGCTGTTTTTATGGGCGTCAGGAGCCGCCCATAGGGGGGGGGCTATGTTACAATGTGGTTCTGTGTCCTGTCATGTTTAGTGGTTCCCTGTCTTGTCATTAGTTGTTCCAGGTGTTTCCCATTTACCACGCCCCCTTGTTATCCTATCTAGCTCGTGTGTCCCTGATTATTTAAGCCCTGTGTTTCAGCCTTGTCCTTGTGAGTTCTTGTCTAATGTGTCTAATGTTTAACGTCATGTTGGTTGTTCCTGTTCCCGAGTCCTGTATCTAGTCTTGCCTGTTGTACAGTTTGTTAATTAAAGCGTGTGCTGCAGTTGGATCCTGCCTCATCTTTAATTCAACCGCATCACGTTACATCTAACTTCTTTCTTTCTGTCTTTCTAACTTTTCTTTCTATCTTTTTAACTAATCTTTCTTTCTACCTAATCTTTCCTTCTTTAATCTTTCTCTTTTTTCTTTCTATCTTTCTAACTAATCTTTCGTTCTTTCTTTCTACCTAATCTTTCCTTCTTTTTTCTTTCTCCATTTTTTCTTTCTTTCTTTCTTTAACTAATCTTTATTTCTTTCTAACTAATCTTTCTTTCTTTCTTTCTTTCTACCTAATCTTTCCTTCTTTTTTCTTTCTTTCTTTTTTCTTTCTTTCTAACTTCTTTCTGTCTTTGTAACTTTTCTTTCTTTCTATCTTTCTAAAACAGCCACTAAAAAGACTGATGAAAAAAGGGTAAAACATCATTGTATTTATTGTGGTAAATTTTGACTAGTTGTAGAATTTATAATTAATAATCTGTTAAAGGAATAGATTTATCACTAAAGATTTATATTAGTCTACAACTGTGGCAGTGGCATGTTGTAGCTATAGTTCCTAAATGCTATTTTTCATATAACAAATGCTAAAAAGAAAGAAAAAATATAACATTGGCCTTAGCATGGTCATAGCATGGTCATAGCATAGTCTTACCGGTAATTAAATCCTTATTGTAACAAATGCTATAGTAAACAATTACAAGAAATGAAAGCGTAAGTGTAAGTTCTACCAGAAAGACTCCACTGCCACGTCATTAATTTATAATCTTGCGCAGCCAATCACAGCTTGACATCAACTATAAAAAGACTGATCTTACCCTCCTATTTTGCTGCCCGTAGGTGTCGTAGCGAAGTTCCCCTCCATCCTCCTCACCACCACCAGGATGGCTCCCGTCCACTCTTCCAGGGGGTAGGCTCCGCCCTTTTCTCTATAATCAGGGAGGACCTACCAGTTAACTTCAAGACCTGGACGAAGGACGGGCCTACAGCAAAGAACTTTGAGACGGAGGTTGTCGAGGGTTTATTTATTTATTTTGTCTGTAAAATCATTTTAAATAAAATCCATTCATACGAGAATCCTCCCGAGTCTTTTTGGTAAAACTATGTTACTTTTAAGGCCAAGTACATGTTAGAAAGAGCTTTAAAGTCTGGACCTTCTTGAATTATTGACTAAACAATCAATTTCCTCATGTAAAATGCTACACTGCTAATAACGACAGACATTAGGAAAAACCTGGCTTTCAGATATTCAAAGAGATGAAATTAACATGTTCAGTACAAGTAAACTTTAACAACCAATCCCCCCATTACCCCTGCGCAATATAATATATACCATATAATGCATAAAAAGTAAAAGTAAATTAACACTTAAAAACCAAATAAAATTTGGGTAAGGTAAAATTTCAACTGATTTCTTATTGGTTCTACTGTAGGTGCATGAACCTGACAAGAACAGACACAAGTTATAAGAAAGATTTATGTGCTTTTATTTGTGTTACTTTTAAGTTACAGGTGGTTTTGAGGACAAAGAGATGTAAAGAAAATAAAGAAAGAAGAAAGCAAAAAAGAAGACTTTGGAATGAAGGAGGGAACAAGGGGGAAAAAGTAAAAATAAAGATGTTTTCTTTTATTTCTTTTCCTCGTCTCTCTGACAGAGACAGACTCACTCTGTCTTCCTCTTTTTTCTATTAGTGTTCAATGTCTTTCCTCCCTACTTTTTCTGTCTCTCCAAAAAAACAAACGGGAAACATTGAGAGAGATTATGGTGCTCTATTACAGAGATGCACCATCTCTTTAAATATCTCCTCTTCCTATACATTTATGAAGGGAAACACTATGGCAGACAGAACAGAGAGATTGTGATTTCATGATGTTAGATTATTTTATTGAAAATAATCACATTAGCTACATGTAACTCACATTCAGAGAGCCCAAATGCCAAAAGACCTCCAGTTTATACAAGTGTTTCTGTGAGAGGACAGATGGACCATGGGGATACTGAATATGTAACAATATGGTGTGGTAATGAGGAGGTAGAGAGATGGTTGATGGATTGAGTTATTCTTCCTCTTTCTCCTCTCCGTGTGTTATGACGTAGCAGATGTTCTTGTAGTCTACGTTTCCAGCCACATCTGGAGGGAAGGCAGCCCAAAGGTTTGTCATCTAGAAGAAGATAACAACCAGAAGATCTTAAATAATTTGTCAAGTAAAACAAAGGCAACATGTTAACATTTAAAAAAATATTTAAATGCATTGCTAGGCAATGACTACATTGTTTTGGGTGCTTGCTTGCTGGCCCAACTGAAAAAGCAAACCCCTATGTCTCTAAATATGGCTCGGGTTCTACCTTCAATGTATAGTGCTTTTCACAAAACACATTGTTTCAAAACAGCTTTACAGAGATTCTTGATGTTAGTGTTTATAGTACCTTAATGCCTAATTGTTCACATTTAGCAAATAAGACCTGGCGATAGTATAAATGTTTGACTAAGGGATATTTTTTTACTTGTTTAATCCCACATTTCTCCTCAGCAAGCCATACAGTTTGAATTCCTGCCATAGCACAAACAGTAATTATGGTTCTTGCTTTAGCAAACACCATTGATTAAAATCCAACTACAACTAACCTCCTCTGCGGTAAATCTGTCGCACTGGGTAGTCAGGAGTTCCTCAAGGCTATAGAAATAAAACAAAATGTTATATTCTTGAAAATGAATCTTCACCATAGTTGTAAGGGCTTCATGAAAGTTCAGCATTCTCTAGTGTGAACAACAATGAGTCAGGACACTTACAATTCCTTCTTGATGGTGCCTGTAGCCTCAGGGTCCAGAACTTTGAAAGCACTCACGATAACATCCTCAGGGTCAGCACCTTAATGAAGAGTTGAATAAATGTTGCGAATACTTGATGTGAATACTTGTTGAGATGTCAATACTATGCATTCTAAAAAATACAAAACTTATTTTGTACATTTTCATAACCATTATTTGTAAGTCAGTAGAGCATGGTGCTAGCAACAGCAAGGTCATGGGTTTGATTACTAGGAAATACATGTACTGATAATATGTTTACCTTTAAAGCACTGTAAGTAACTTTGAATTAAAGTGTCTGCCAAATGCATGTAAATGTATCTGGCAGGTAAAAGTTATGTGCTGAACTGAAAGTTACAAATATTAATTCTTAATCCCTAACCAAGAGAATGAACAATAAATATTATTTGTGATTACAAGAATGAACTAAGTCAGAGAAGATTTAAACAACTCACCCTTTAGCTTCTCACCAAACATGGTGAGGAAGACAGTGAAGTTGATGGGGCCGCTGGCTTCTTTGACCATGGCTTCCAGCTCCTCATTTTTCACATTTAGCTGACCCATGGAGGCCAGCACATCTCTCAGATCGTCCTTGCTGATAATACCATCCCTGTTCTGGTCGATGATTGTGAAGGCCTGTTTGTTTTAGAGAGGGTAAGACAGTTTATGCAAGTTCATTTAGCATTTTATCCAAGCAGAAAACATCAGTCATGTTTGTGGGGTGGGGACTGGGTCTATGTAACATACCATTGAGGATTATTAGTAACTACAAACAACAATCTTAGTGTTACTTGGCTTTAAATTACACTTTTCAAAGGGTATGAATTTTAATTGAAGTTGCTACTAATTGCATCATATGTCCCCAAAGATACACAAGATGTTTTCACAGAAGAAAGGATTGATTTTGTAGTTGTGAAATACATTTCCCTTTCTGGCATCAGGTCTTGATGTCATTCTACTGAACATAGTTGAAACTAGAGATGACATCTGAGATCAAGAAGTATCTTGGCAGCTGCTGCCCACTTGTCTAAGTTGTTAAAAGGTCACAGAATGTACAACAAGACTTTGTGGATATATAAGGAGGCCATTGGTTACGCTGGCCAGCTCAAACTAATCTCCCTACTACTTACCTTACCTTACTACTTACTACTGCTCCAACTAATCTCCCTACTACTTACCTTACTACTAGCTCCTTACTACTTACAACAGCTATTGTTTTTTGCTAATTGGTTATTGAACATAAAACTAATTCTACAGTTGGTGACTTCTTTCTTCTAATGTTTCCAAAATCTACTTATTGCTGAGTTACTAGTTAACAAAGAAATCTGCAATATAAGATTTTCAAACACATGAGCATGGGTTGAATGTCTAACATGCCCTCAACCTTAATCACTGACATGATCTGATTTATTAATTTGAATGATGTTAAAACTACTCCTTGACTTTGTTTCTGTGTTGTGCTGACAAAATGTATAACTTTGAATGGACAATATTTGAGAAAAAAACGTTTATGATAAAGGAATTTATGTATTGAACTAATTTTAGGTTTAGCAGAGATTTAAGAAAAATAAGTCAAATTACTGAAGAATGAGCACTGTACCTCCTTGTATTCCTGGATCTGGCTCTGCTCAAACATGGAGAATACATTAGAGCTGCCGCCCTCTGCCTGCTGCCTCCTCTTGGCCTTCTTGGGTGCCTAAAGAGAAACACATATGTATGGAGTGAAAAACACACTTGAATGTTTTGCTGCTCCATTTCCACAGTTACGACTTCTGTCATCATATACATATTCTGCTAATCACCCAATGAAAAGTTATTTTTCATGTTGCAAATTCAAATGTATATTTCCAGTGATAATAGGGCTCTATATTTTAGAAGGTGTCAAGGAAGGATGTTTTGTAAAGTTGTTAAGTGCACTCAATGGCAACTCAATTATTTTATATATATTTTAAAAATATAAAAATATATATATATATATATATATATATATATATATATATATATATATATATATATATATATATATATATATATATATATTGTCTAAAGTCTTTCTAAAAACACTCACCATCTCTCAATTTTTTTTCCGTTGGTCAAAAGAGGAGAAGTATACACCACACTGATGTGACTGACATAGTCGTAGTTCCTTTTGGGGTCTTATATACTGGCCTGGGTGTGCTAACTTTAGCCTGAACATCAGGTTTAGGAAAGTGAGTGCTGGTGAAAGTACAAGACAGGAGGTGTATGAAGTGCTTTGGTGTCACTTTTCATTCCTGTTCCAAAATAGGATTTGCACGCCTTGGAATGAGGTGAATTCAGTCCAGTAATTTTGGCAATAGTTTGGTTTACCTTGTAGGCAAATATGGCAAGGGCAAGGAGATTGTTGCTGCCTTGACTGAAGGGCTCAGTTTTTTCTCATCTGTCTCTGTTGAGAATTAATTTGTAGATTAATGTAAGCCTTGGTATATCTTTTCTGAAAGTAAGAATTTGAATACAACCCATGGTATCATTTTTCTATATGACATACCATTGCCAGTCAATGGTCTTTTTTTTCACAATAAGAAATCGGTCAATATTGGTTTTATGAATCAATACTGGCTGTAAATTAGACCACTTAACATCAACTGAAAAAAAATGGGATCTTTTAAATGACAGTCATGTACACTGAACAGTTCCAACATTATATTTAGATAATCTGTCTCTATTATCATGTAAAAAGACACAAACAAGGGTTAGTGCTCTTCACTTACTCAAAAGATGTAATATAATCTATATAATTAGAGACATCTATTACTATACTATCATAGTTAATAAGCATTTTGGGGGATTTTAATATTTATAAGACCTTGTTTGGTTGCATGTCCATGTATAACTTTACTATTTAACAATATTCTCCAATGAACTAATATCCACTTATGCATTATGTTCACTTTCTTGTGTCCAGTAAAAAGGCATCCTTCTTACCATATAAAAATAATGACATAACTGCATATAACGCATTCATTCTTTAAAGTAAACATTTTAGCAACATATGATAGTTTAACGTTTGTATGTTTTTCTTTTTTCAATCTTCTATTCGTTTGTATGTCACTAAATGTAAATATGATTTTAAGATTATAAAACAGTAAATGATCTAAAGATTTACTTCTTACAGTAGCTAACTAAAAACATATTGGTTCTGGAAAATGATAAAGGTGCTGTACCATATATGTACATTGGATGTGTGGTGTGTATTTTATGAATAAATGTCTGAATAGAAGGGGAGTTTGATGACTAAACATAATTTTCAAGCTCTGGGGCTCTATATCGAGGAGCTTATAGACCTCCGGGATAGTCCAAAACAGCATTCTGCAGCCCTCCTTCTTCACACCATATATGCAATCCATAGCAGACATTTATCATGGGCCCAACACTGAATGCATGTATTGAAATACAGGGTTGTGGAAACTGATACTCTGTCTCTGCAGGGAACTTGGTCTTTTCTTTGGCTCCTCTGTTAACTGTCAGTCCCATTTTTTGAACATAGAGCTGAAAATAACATTTCTAACATAAACCTTGAATACATTGGAGCACAGACTTAAGTTCGGTCTCTTTTAAAGGAGACACTTGGTAGATTATTGTAAAAAATTATGAAAGTGACATTATATAAAAATTGAAGTTTATGAAAATGTGAAAATATAAATTTAAAAAAATATATATAAAATGTATGTTTTATAAAAAAATGATCGACTATAAAACTTCAAGAAAATCAAAGCCAAAAATCTGAACAAGTTGTGTTCCAAATTTTAGGTTGATATCTCAAAGAATTAGCTTTCAGTAAGATTTTGTTTGGGCGTAGTACAAATCTTTTCCACTAGATGACATTCAGGCTCCATTGGTGGCCATATAGGGACGCACCCATTTCTATATATGGTTTGAGTGATCTGAACCAAATATTTCCATACTTTTTATACAATTTATGAAGTAGACATACTATTCAGAAGTGGTACGTGCAATATGGCAGTATTTGATTTTAATTCAACCTTTAACAAACACATAAAAGACATGCAGAAAGAACACGCATGAGAGTTATAAATAATTTTTTCTTTATATTTAAAAAAAGTTCTTCTCAAAAATAGAATTGTTATCTTTTAAACTCTTGGCATGAAAACAAACTGATGTTTCTACCAATCTTTCATGATTTTTCATGTGCATCACTATTTCAAAATAAAGGTCTGAACACGCCTTATGACTTGTTGCAAATTAAGAAGTTACTGTTCCTCTGTCATTTGTACCTAAATCAGTTCATCAAATAAATGTAGCCTTAGTGAGCATGAGAGATTATATTTAAGTTATAGTAATGAATGTGTTTTTTTTCTTTGGGACTCTAAATCATTGAATTCAGGTGTTCCAATCACTTCCATGGCCACAGTTTCACAACATTTGTGAAAGAATAGGTCGCTCTCAGGAGCTCAGTGAATTCAAGTGTGGTACCGTGATAGGTTCCCACATGTGTATTAAGTCCATTCGTGAAATTTCCTCACTACACTTAGCTCAAGAACAGTGTGCAGAGAGCTTAATGGAATGGGTTTCCATGGCCGAGCAGCTGCATCCAAGCCTTACATCACCAAGTGCAATGCAAAACATTGGATGCAGTGGTGTAAAGCACGCCGCCACTGGACTCTAGAGCAGTGGAGACATGATCTCTGTAGTGACGAATCACACTTCTCTGTCTGGCAATCCGATGGATGAGTCTGGGTTTGGCGGTTGCCAGGAGAACGGTAATATCCTGACTGCATTGTGCCAAGTGTAAAGTTTGGTGAAGGGGGGATTATGGTGTGGGGTTGTTTTTCAGGGGTTGGGCTTGGCCCCTTAGTTCCAGTGAAAGGAACTCTTAATGCTTCAGCATACCAATACATTTTGGACAATTTCATGCTCCCAACTTTGTGGGAACAGTTTGGAGATGGCCCCTTCCTATTCCAACATGACTGCACACCAGTGAACAAAGCAAGGTCCCTAAAGACATGGATGAGCGAGTTTGCTGTGGAGGAACTTGACTGGCCTTCACACAGTCCTGACCTCAACCCGATAGAACACCTTTGGGATGAATAGAGCAGAGACTGCGAGCCAGGCCTTCTCGTCAAACATCAGTGCCTGACCTCACAAATGCACTTCTAGAAGAATGGTCAAAAGTTCCCATAAACACACTCCTAAACCTTGTGGAAAGCCTTCCCAGAAGAGTTGAAGCTGTTATAGCTGCAAAGGGTGGGCCAACTCCATATTAACCCTACGGATTAAGAATGGGATGTCATTAAAGTTAATTTAAAGGCAGGCGTCCCAAAACTTTTGGCAATATAGTATATTTTAAAACATCCATTTAACTGGATGTCTGTCCACTGCACTTTGCAGTGCATTAAAGCTATACATTTAATTTGAAAGTGAATTTCCTGTGGATCAAACTCATATTCTTAGTGTCTGTAATTATCTTGGAGTAATGTTTTTGTAATGTATTTTACAATTTGAAGATTTTCCCATATGGGAAGAGCAATTAAAAATATTGCCTTGGCACTGAGTGCACTGTAGTAATATTATAAGTAGAAGTGGTATAAATAGTCATTTAAAATAATTCAACAATTCAGACAGAGTTTAAGTGACACTACAAGAAAAGGTGTAGTGGAAAAAGTGACAGCTGCAGACAGAATTAGCTCGCCATCCCCCGATTTTCACACACACTGTTCAGAAGAAATGTAAAGCGTATAAAATATTTTACGCTAGCCCAAATGCTTTCTCTCCAACAAATTCTCTTCTGGCCTTACATACAGATTTTTTTTACTGTGTAAACTGTATACTCTATCCCCTAACTCTATCCCTACCCCTTAAACACAACCCTTACAGAAAACGTTATGCAATTTAAAATTTTCGATAAAACATGTAATGTGATTTATATGCAGTCCCCATTTTGTCCCCACAATCTGTGGTTTACCAGGACCACCCCACACACACACACACACACACACACACACACACACACACACACACACACACACACACACACACACACACACACACACACACACACACACTCACTCTCTTTCACTCATGGCTGCTGTCCCCTGCTCTTTAAGCACACACTCTCTTCACTCCCACTCCCCTGAGCTAAATATAGGGCAAATATATAAACTTTTTTTGTCAGCCAAGTTTCTTAGATGTAAAATATTTACTTCAAGAATCCTCTGTAATTTTAAATTACTATTTCAATGATTTAACAACATTCATGTAAGTTCATGGTCACACTGGTGTTTTAGGAGCCTAATCACATTTAATATAGTTGTCATGTCTTGTTCTGGTTTTGTTTCATGTTCTTGTTTCATGGGTGCTTCTCAATTCTTACTTGTGCATCCTCGTTTCCTTTCCTCGCATCTCAGTTCCACCCCCTGTAGGATGCGAGGGAAGGCTGCAAGAAAAGAAAATGAGGACGGAGGAATTGAATGAAAGTTTTTTTTATACATTGGAATACTTGATCACTCGAGCGTCACTTCATAGCGGCATCAGCTGCGCTCAAAGGATCTGCCCTTATGTTGTTGAAGTTTGGTTATTTAAGAAATTAGTAATAAATAATAATAAATCAAGATACTCTGTTGAAATATGTGAGAGTGTGGTTTATATAAACTGCAAAGGTAAAGTATAAATTAAAATGATTGTGACCGATGTGAAGGGGGAGGAGAATGTATGTTCGTCACGTTTAGTCGATAAAACACTTCCACAAAGGATAGGCCTACTCCTGTGTATCCTCGCTCATAACTCCTCTGGAAGCCTCCTCACTCCTCGATCCTCGCCTCCTCGCAGTGCAATTAGAGAATTGAGATGTCCTTCAAGATGGCTGAGCTCGATCGGTTTCCAGGTCATAGGATGGAGGACGGAGGAGAGAGGAGACGAAGAGGGATATTGATACTATACATACTTCCCTACTATATAGTATGGGAAAAAGAGTAGGCGAGCGAAAAGTATGTACGAATTATAAAAGAGTAGGCGAGAATTACCTGGGTAACGTACTAATTCTCGCGAGATTCGGACGTACGTATACTAATAGTGTGTTCGAAAATGCCTACTTTCCTACTATATAGTAGGAGAAAACAGTACGTGAAAGAAGCAGTACGTTCGAAACATCAGTATTGATAAAAGAGTAGGCGAGAAGTTCCCGGATGGCTTACTGCTTCTGCCCAGATTTTTGAGTGCTCATCCGATGGATACTTTTCTATCCCTGGAGGCCACGGGAGAGCATACGTCATAATCGAACATCGCGGAGATCAGCAAAGCGGGGGTTTTCAAATGTGAGTAAACACGGTTCCTTGTGTTTAAATCGTATGTGTTAAACTACTATAGAGTAAACGTTTTAACTGTTGAAGGTGTAAAGGAGTTTTAAACATGTTTTATAATGTATACAGTAGCTAACAGGGGAGCTCCAGTAAGCACACGTACCGTTACGTCTCTAAAGTGGATTTACATAACCATATACATCTTAAACACGCTTATTTAAAAATTCTATTTACATCTGAAAGGAAAATATTGTATAAGTATTGCAGATGAGCAGATCACAACATGAATAAGACATCTGAGCGATGAATGTGTGCTATTGTGTAGGATAATTCACTGTTGTCAACACTGTTTACATTAGACAAATGTGCTGTAAATAAGGTAAATAAACAAATCTATAAAGTAACTAAATATGTTATATATTTTATTTGTCCCTTATTACTGTTGATAAATTGAGGAACATTTAAGTTGGATAAAAAGTGAGTTAACACATCAGCTACAACCTCAGCATGTAAATGTAGTGTTGAGCTCATAAATCACAGAGGTAATGTGAATCTTGTCAGGATGTTACAGGGACAGAAGAACACGCGTGTGTTTATCCAGTGGAGAGAGGCTTGTGATGCTGAATGCTGTCATCAAAGGCTTTGAGTGAGTATACTACAGAAATGGATAACAAAATCTATTAAATCTTAAGTTGTGGTTTATTTGAATTATTGTAATTTCAAACGGAGAAATTACAGCACTTTTCTGAATCTTGATGTCTGTGCATTTGCTGCAGAGCTTTTGTGGTGGAGCAGGACCTGCAAGGAAAGATGATGGCAGCATTTGTTGGGAAAAAAAGGTTTTAGGGATTTTACTCAAATATAAAAGGTCATTTTTGTTATTTTTAATACATAAATCAAATGACATTGTGCTGTTAAAATGACTGCTTTTGTATAATGTTTGTGCATTTTTGTAGGATCTGAAGTCTGCAGACTGGTGTGAGCACTGAGGATGAAGAGCACAGAGCTGAATCCTGGAAGTGGTGCCATGGATGAGTCCTTCCATCTCTCCATCTGCCCTTATTGCCTCAGATTGTGAAGCGCAGCGCAACGCAGCAACAAGCTCTGGCACGAAGGCACGGTCACCTCTGGTGAATTCATCAGAATAAAGCCGCAGAATGGGAACCGCTGTGTTGAGATGGCAGTAGGATTTGGGGTTCAGCGCCTGTAAATACATGCTTGTAGTTTGAATAAAGCTTTGTTCCATGTGTTGTTGACTTGTATATGCATTTGTTTATTGTGATGGTTACTTTTATTTGTTCTTTTACTCATTTATTCATGATTCTTATTGTTGTCAGTATATAAAATATAATTATTTAATTAATGTATGCATTAATTGATTGCTTGACTGACAATTGAGATGTTTCACTGCATTTATCAATATAAATGTATTCATGCATAACTATGTCATATGACAAAACAAATTACATTTAGCTTGTTTTATTAAATTATATATTTTTTTAGTATATATAAAAAAGTAATATAATTAAGTATTGGTCAGCATTTAATATTATTATTTTGTTTAAGTTTTGGGGTGGGCTAACAATGCAATTCATTCTGAGGTAATATTAATTTTTAAGGAGTGATACATTTTTCGAGTATAAAATCAACAGTTTTCTCCAAAGGTGAGATCTTCGAGCAGCTGAACGTCTCCTTTGTGCAGACATTACAAACGCAGAGGAAAACGTACTCGGTTACTAACGTAACCTCGGTTCTCTCTAGAGAGGGAACGAGTACTGCGTAATATCTTACGCTATGGGTGAAACCTCTTTTCCATGAGATATTGAAGCCAAAAATTATCCTTAATTTTGAATTAATGTAAAACGCTGTGCAGCAGCATGCAGACATAGGCAGGACGGCTCGCGCGTCTATTGGCTGCCCTGCTGCAACAGCAGCAGCCTATCGAGAGAGGCGCTGCGTGACACCATATCCAATGGGGGCATTTCGCGCCCATTTCGTCACGTCCCGCCAGAAAGGGCGTGGTCTCGCCCTATAAATATAGCTCGATAAGGCTGGTACACTGGTTTTCATCGCCGAAGCGAACCAGAGCTGTGTATGCACGGCAAGATACGCAGTACTCGTTCCCTCTCTAGAGAGAACCGAGGTTACATTAGTAACCGAGTACGTTCTCTTACGAGAGTATCTCTCGTACTGCGTAATATCTTACGCTATGGGGAACACAATGCAAGACGCCGTGCGTACTGGGATCCGACACCAAAGTCCCAAGGGCAGTAGCCCGGGTCTCATGTAGTGCATAATCACCATAGACTCACAGAGAGTCGGAGAAGAGAGGCTGCAAGCATCATTCCCCATGAAATAGCATCCTACAGGAGCTAGTTATGTTAACAGTGTTTCACACAGACAGGGTGAACGTGTTCAGCCTGAACTGGGTAACAGTACGGGTTATTCAACACCCATGGAGCTGTTTTATCGCTCAGTGAGCGATGCACAAGCAAAACTCAGCATCTAGGCGGGTACAGCGGGGCAGATAGCACTGAATTCTATACCGACAGAAGCTTGGCTTGTAAGGTGGGAACCTCTAGGTTATAAAACCTTATAAATGTAGACAGCGAGGCCCAGCCCGCGGCCGCAAAGATATCTTGCAAGGTAACCCCACTATACCACGCCCACGACGAGGCCACGCCTCTCGTGGAGTGCGCTCTGACACCCAAAGGACACTGCAGGCCCTTAGAAAGTGTAAGCCAGTGCTATGGCGTCGACTATCCATCTGGATAGGCTCTGTTTTGATGCGGCCAGTCCCTTGGAGCGTCCGCCAAACAAAACGAAGACCTGCTCGGTCTGTCTGAAGACAGACGAGCGGGACACATAAGCTCTCAGTGCCCTGACAGGGCAAAGGAGACTCGCATCCTCCTCTAACTGAAAGCGCTTGTAAGTCCCCTATGCACTTCACTGAAGCGAGAGCCAAAAGAAACACCGTTTTGAAAGACAGATGCTTCATGTCTGACAAATGGATTGGCTCGAACGGGGCACCTTTCATGGCTTCCAAAACCGTAGAAAGGTCCCACACCGAGGTCTGGGAGGGTTCAGCCTCCGAGCTCTCTTAAGGAATTGCACGACTAGGTCGTTTTTCCCCAGTGACTGGCCAGACAAAGGTTTTGTAAACGTTGCTAGGGCCGCCACATACACTTTGAGCGTGGATGGGGTCCTGCCCTTATCCAGCAGCTCTTGAAGGAAGGAGAGTACTTCCGTGACCCCGCAGTCTACGGGTGAAAAGCCCTGAGCTTGACACCAGGCAGAGAACACAGACCACTTCGAGGAGTAGAGCCATCTAATAGACGGGGCTCTCGCCTGCGTGATCTTGTTTAACACTCCCTCTAGGAGGTTAGCGGGTACCCGTTGATGGCCCATGCATGTAGGGACCATAGTTGCGGGCGAGGATGCCAAATCGAGCCCCTGGCCTGAGAGAGGAGGTCTTTCCTCAACGGTATTGGCCACGGGGCAGTGCTGGTCAGCCGCATCAGGACTGGGAACCAAGTCTGGTTTGTCCAGAGCGGAGCTACAAGCAGCACTGGGCATCCGTTTTCCCTGATTCGTTCCAGCACTTGAGGAGCGAGACGGGGGGAAAAGCATAGAGGGGACAGCGAGGCCAGACGTGGGCCAGCGCGTCCTTGCTCTTGGAGAAATATTTCGGACAGTGAGCGTTTTCGTGGGACGCGAACAGGTCCACCTGCGCTCTGCCGAACGTTTTCCACAGCAGTTGGATCGTCTTGCGGGTGCAGCGACCATTCCCCTGCTGGGACATTGTTTCTGGACAGTCTGTCTGGTCCCACATTCAGGTGACCAGGCACATGCGCTGCTCTCAGCGAGAGCAGGTTGTGCTGAGCCCAGACCAGAAGGCGTTCCGTCAACCTGTAAAGGTTTCGGGACCTGACGCCGCCCTGGCGATTTATGTGTGCCACCACTGACATGTTGTCCGACCGGACCAGGACGTGGTGACCTTTTATCTGGGGACAGAAGCACCGTAGCGCTTTGTCGACTGCTATCATTTCCAAGCAGTTTATGTGAAGGAGCCTTTCCCGTTCTGACCACAGGCCAGCGAACGGTCTGCCCTTGAGCAGCGCTCCCCATCCCGAGGTGGAGGCGTCCGTAGACACCACCTGCACACTCGAGGCGGTCCCCAGACTCACACCTGACTGACACCAGTCGGTTACTTTCCAAGGTTTCAGAGCTGAAAACGCACTTTAGATCGACCCTGAGGCGAAACAGACCAGCGGTCCGTGCCCAGGGCGGAACTCGCGCTTTCAGCCACATCTGCAGTGGGCGCATGTGAAGCAGGCCCAGCTGGAGCACAGAGGCTGTTGAGGCCATCAGGCCCAGCATTTTCTGAAACCTTTTGAGCAGGACTATAGAGCCGTGGCGGAAGGATTTCGCGACGCGCTGAATGTCTAGTCCGCGCTCCGATGACAGGCGTGCTGTCATGGATCGCGAGTCCAGCACTGTACCCAGAGAGAAATTTTCTGACTGGGGGACAGTGAGCTCTTCGCCCGATTGACTGTGAGGCCCAGATTCTCGAGGTGCTCGAGTAATGTGGCCCTGTGTTCTATGAGCTCTGAGTGAGATCGAGCTAGAATCAGCCAATCGTCCAAGTAGTTCAAAACTCGCATGCCCCGGAGTCTCAGGGGTGCGAGAACCGCGTCCATGCACTTCGTGAATGTACGGGGTGCTAGGGACAGGCCGAACGGCAGGACTGTGTATTGATATGCCTGGCCCTCAAAGGCGAATCTCAAGAATCACCTGTGATGGGACGCTATTTGTATCTGGAAATAGGCGTCTTTCAGATCTATTGACATAAACCAGTCCTCTTGGCAAACTTGCGCGAGGATTTTCCTGGTTGTAAGCATTCTGAACTGGTGCTTCACAAGCGCTCTGTTCAGCTGTCGCAGATCTAAAATGGGTCTGAGACCTCCATCTTTTTTCGGTACCAGAAAATATCTGCTGTGTAGGCCCCCTTTGCTCTGAGCTTGAGATAAAGGTTCTATAGCACCTTTGCTCAGTAGTTTCGCTATCTCGGCTCGAAGTAGATGAGATACTTCGTTTTTCACCGTCGTCTCGACGCGCGCCGTATAACGGCGGGGACGTCGAGCGAACTGTAGCGAATAGCCTCTTTTTATAGTGTTCAGCACCCATTCTGATACCCCAGGAAGCTGTGCCCACACTTTCGCGTGAATAGCTAGGGGTAGAATGAGATCTGGGCTCTGGCCGTGACATAGTGACGGCAAGGGAGCTCCGGCGTGCTGTAACGCAGACACTGTGTTTACAGTGTGTGAGGCGGGGGGCGCGCCGATCACGGCGGGCAGCCTGGCCGCGCTCAAAACCCTTATAGCAGTTTGCTGAGGGAGAGAGAGCGGGGCGAGCCCCGTGGGGCTTAACATGTCTGTGAGTGAATGTGGGCGCAGGACAGCGGGCACATTTACTGCACTGAAAACACCGTCGGCCTGAGCTGACTGAATGCGTGTTGGTTTCGTTTTTACAGAACCCGTGGGACATGTGGCGTGTAGTGTTTGTGGGCACTGAGACGTAGGCACATTCAGTACATTTAGTGCACAATCGACATGAGGCGATTTTGTTTGTGCGAGCCCTGCATTTTTGCGGGCTGTGTTTGTGTGTAGAAATGAGCCCTGGGTTGTGGGCATTTTTATTACAGTCATAACACCATCGGCTGTGGCCGGAATACCAGAAAATACACCGTTTATGTGATTTATCTGGGTCGCCGTGGGAACAGCATTTGTGTGCAGGCAAGCGGGCATGGTACTGGCTTGCTTACTGCAAAATACACTGGAACAGTCACATTTTCTGGAACTGAACGAGCGAAAATTTCAGTGGAAGTCTGGCCGCGGCGAGACTGAAACACCGTTGATTTCCAAGGAGGCTAGGAAGACTTGTGTTGGTTTCGTTTTACAGAAACCGTGGTAGTGTTTGTGGGCACTGGGTTGTGGGCACATTCACTACATTTAATGCACAATTGACATGCGTCGATTTCATTTGTGCGAGCCCTGTACCGTGGCGGGCTGTGTTTGTGTGTAGAAATGAACACTGGGCTGTGAGCATTTTATTACACTTATAACACCATCGGCTGTGGCCGGAAAACCAGAAATACAATGATTACATGATTTTTCTGGGTCGCCGTGGAAACGGCCTTTATGTGAAGGCAAGCGGGCCGTGGTACCAGCTTGCTTACTGCAAAATACACTGGAACAGTCGCATTTTCTGGAACTGAACGAGCGAAAAGTTTCGGTAGAAGTCTGGCCGCGGCGAGACTAAATTTTTATCTGCTGCGAGAGCCGGGTTTGAACACGGGTCTCTCTCGCGAAGGCTTCGGGTTCCGCCACTGAGCCACAGGTAGAACTACATTAGCGCAAGCAGATAAGAGAGTGTCATCACAGTTTTGTGTGTGTCGGCGTTTGTATGCAGGTGTGCGTTTTATACAACAGGCTCATTGCTGCAATAATGACATTTTCAGCCGCTCAAACTAGGAGCTGAGAAATGTTTGAGAAATGGAGATTAGTCCGGCCTCGGAGGGGACTAAAACACACTCTTTTCTCATTTTGCCTGTGACGCACGCCCATGGGGGGCGGGGTAGATTTCTTATAACGTAAAGAAAGCTAGCCGCGGTTTTAGGGCTCGCGGTCTTGATGCTGGCCCGTTTCCCTGACGACTCGCGGACAGAAGGGGGATGTCCACAGAGCTCGCCCAGTCCTCACTGTCCGACGCCAGGATAGAGCAGCAGGTCTCCTCTACAGATGCAGCTATCTCGTCGTCATTAATGGCGGAAGCGGCGGCGCGCGGCGGCCGTTATCCGTCAGTGAGCGACTCGAGTGAAGCTGGTGAAGCTGGCAGGCGAACCGGCGAGCTTTCACGGGCTGGAGAAGGCTCGGGGACCCGCTGAGTACGGCGCTTTTTTACGGCGCGGCACTGCAGCGGGTGGAAGTGCAGTCTCGCTGAAGGATGCCAGGCGAGTCCTCAGAGTCACCGTAGGCAATAGCTCGCAGTGAGGGCAGCCGCCGTCGGCGAGCGCGAGAGCTGCATGATCCTCTCACAGGCAGGAAACACATCACATGGCGGTCCCCGTGGCTGAATGTGGCTCGGCACGAGCCACAGGAGGATGGCATCTTTACAAAGACGCGGCTCTTTTAGATGATAGAAGTGTGAGTCGCGGGGCGAGCACACACACACACACACATACACACAGAGCAGAGTAAAGGATATATAGTACGCCGGAAAGCGCAGCAGGTACGGCAGTTGAAGGCGGCGAGGCCAGCGACTCCAGAAGCTCGTCCCGCTGAAAGGCTTGTGTCGACGGCGCGGCTTCTCACTCCGGATCCAGCGATGCGAGAGGCTTCGCTGAAGAGATGAAAATCAGTGTACCAGCCTTATCGAGCTATATTTATAGGGCGAGACCACGCCCTTTCTGGCGGGACGTGACGAAATGGGCGCGAAATGCCCCCATTGGATATGGTGTCACGCAGCGCCTCTCTCGATAGGCTGCTGCTGTTGCAGCAGGGCAGCCAATAGGCGCGCAAGCCGTCCTGCCTATGTCTGCATGCTGTTGCACAGCGTTTTACAATAATTCAAAATTAAGGATAATTTTTGGCTTCAATATCTCGTGGAAAAGAGGTTTTCCCCATAGCGTAAGATATTACGCAGTACGAGCGATACTCTCGTAAGAGAACTGTTCTAATTGTGCTGTCGAGTTACTGATGTTATGAAGTGTACTAGTGCACCTGTCGCTCATATAATATAAACTTATTACATACAAAGATCATGGAAAGATATAGTTGTATCTTTAGATTGTCTCTAACAATGAACGATCATAATGTCAAAACAGAAAACATAAAGATCATTGGTTTGTGTACATCATAATATGATATTTATACACAGGAAAAAAGAACAATAACAAGGCTAAATATCTTTAAATAGTTCTTCATAATACATAAAACATTTTTTTTTTTTTTTTATAAGTCTGAGGGATGAAACGAGAGGTAAATTCATCAAGAAAAAGAGGAAAACTTAAAGGAGAAACGTTTTGGGTATAAAATAAAGAAATTAACAACATATTCAAGAGATGACGATTTGGGGGTTTCTTAATAAAAAATTATATCGTTATAGGCCTACCTAAGGATAAAACTGTGGGTCACATTAGTAGGGTTTAAAATATAACAACTTAAATCAACCCTAAATGTATTCACAAAATAAATGGGCAGCTGTTTCTTCAACAATACTACCACAAAATGAGCAAGTTTCATCAATATCAAGATATTTACAGATAGATGAATTAAATGTGTCGTTCATATATTTTAAGTTGTTGCGCTTGTGATAACGCGCCGTAGGTCACATGATAACGTCAACATGGTAGATGTCCGGATCGCATTCATACTCAACGAGATTTGGCTATACTCTTTTAGCGCTCGTTAAGTAAGTACTTATTGAAATTAAGTACTACTCATTGAGTATGCGGTTTCGAACGCAGCCCAGGTCCCAGTCATGTTTCCTGTTGTCATGTGATTTCCTGTAGTCATATGATCCTGCCATGTGTTCCCCATGTGAATGTGGCATGTTGTCATTGGTTTATTGTCTAATCATGTGCACAGGTGTCCATGTTTAGTCATTAGTCCTTGTATATTTAAGCCCTCATGTTTGCCTTGTTACTTTGTCAAGTAGCCTACAGTTTGTGTAACCACTGTTTGGTAAGCTTTCTGTTCATGTTTATGGTTTGCCATATGCTTTGATCCACTTGAATAAACTGCACTTGGGTTCTACAACTTGCCTTCAGTGGACTCCCTTTAAAATAGTAATGTGCATAATAATAATAATTATTGTGTTTCCCCAACCTGGGGGCTGTTCCATAAACCAAGATTAGAGTATAAGCCAGGCTTATTTCGGTTAGTCAGGCTTATTTTTGGTAGATTCGGTTTCATAAATCAAACTTAAAAAAGTTCAAACTCAGTTACCCCGGCAACTTATACTGGCAAATTAACCTGGTCCGGGGCAGGCTAACTGTCAGGCTAAGTCTGAGTTCAGGCTTAACGAGCATACCATTTATACTCACCTGCTGGTATTTCGATGTCCTTTTATTTTACTTAACCACTATTAATATTATTTTTTTAAAATAAATAAATAAATAAAGGAAATGTACTTTACTAATAAATGTAAGAAATTATAAGGTATAAAATACACTAAGAAATGTTCAAAACTTGTGTGTTTAATTGGTGAGTTTGGTTAATGAGTTTGGTAATTAATTAATTAAAAGTATATAAATAGGGAGCTGAACTCATTTCCAAACTTAACCATGGCGTGTCCTTTCATAGATGAGGTGGTGGATGAGGGAGCTATAGTCTTGCGGAGGGCATTTCAAAGAGAGAGAACTTTCAGAGACAGGTCAGACCCATTGGCTTTTAATGACAGCTACCTGTATGAGCGATATAGGTTCTCAAGAGATGGGATTGCATATATTTGTAGATTACTAAGCCCACACATTGCAAATAATACACGCCGCAACAGAGCGCTCACAGTCCCACAGACGGTGTGCATTGCACTTCGCTTTTTTGCCAGTGGAACATTTTTGTACACAGTTGGAGATGCAGAGAATATCAGCAAAGCATCAGTTTGCCGCTCTGTACGAACTGTGTACCTTTCTTTAAAAAGACTACTCAATGTGTTCATCACATTCCCTGGCCACAAAGCTATTCGTACCATTAAACATGCCTTTTATGGAATAGCTGGTAAGTTCAAATAACTATAAAACATGGAAATATTTCTTGACTGTTGATTTTACATGGGACATATTTAAAACAAACAAATAATTTTCCTAGGTTTCCCAAATGTTATCGGTGCATTGGACTGCACCCATGTGCGTATTAAGTGTCCGTCTGGTCCACATGAAGCGGACTTTGTGAATAGGAAATCAGTACACAGCATCAATGTACAGGTACGGTCCCACTGAGATGATATTGAAGGCTATGCTCTAGCACGGAGTGTTCTGTACTAAACTGGGCACCAGTGTTTAGTTCATTGCAATTAAAATGTAGTGACCTACAGGTTTAATTTATTTTAGATGATTAGTGATGCAGATTGCATCATCACAAATGTAGAGGCCAAATGGCCAGGCTCTGTGCATGACTCCAGAATCTTTAGAGCCTCATCTCTCTACCAGCAACTAGCAAGAGGTATGCTAGTAATCACTTAAATCGCAAAAAGTCTTTAAAAAAGAAGAAGAAAAAAACTACATTATATATCTATATATATACATTCTGTCTATGCAGGAGAATTCTCAGGAGTTTTGCTGGGAGACAAGGGATACCCATGCCTGCCTTACCTCTTGACTCCCTATCAGGAGCCCCAGACAGAGGCACAGCACCGCTACAACATTGCCCATGCACGCACAAGAGGTCGTATAGCGATGGCATTTGGGCTGATAAAGTCAAGGTTTCAGTGCCTGAAGCACCTCAGAGTGACTCCACCTAGGGCATGTGACATTGTAGTTGCTTGTGTAGTGCTCCATAACATTGCTTGTCTGAGGAGAGAGAGGCAACCAAGGATTGTTGAAGAGGAAGACTGGGGCAATGAAGCAGTATTGGAAGAAAACGAAACAGGCAGACTTATACGAGACACATATGCAAATAATTATTTTGCTTAATATGGTCTAAACCATGTGTAGCCTTTAAAATTTTCCACTGGCCCCTCAACTTTCTCCTTAGTTGAACAAACACACAGAAGTCAAAGTATGTAATGTGATTTGTCTTTATTCAGAGTGAATCTGTCTGTTAGGGGTGAAAACACACAAATAAATGTTGTGGAAAGTGATCAAAAAGGTAATTTTACATTTTTCTGTAGCTGTTGAATTTCCAGCTCCAACTTCCTCATCTTCAGTTTTTTATTCTGGATGTCGATATCAATCGCTTCCATTTGTTTAAGGAGGTAGCGTTTATACACTCCTTTTATGTTTTCTGGGTTCTGTAGCAACATAGATTTAAGTTATTTCATTGAATACTCTTGTCACATTGTTTTCATTTCTTAATACTCACTTTGTCACATGTGGTCCCAGACTGAGAGGGCTCTAGAACAGTGTCAGCATCCTGAAAACACATTATGATCATTTTATCACACAAGTACACTTTTTAATATTCAATACAGTATAGCATGGAACCTGTGAGTACCTCAGGCCTCCTTGAACATACAGACACAGTCTCCTCATCCTCCTCAAGTGATGGGCCTTCTCCCTGTGACCACTGATTAAACTCAGTTAAACTCATAGGCTTACATGACTGATTTAAAAGGTCTCATACTCACAGGCAACATGATGTCTGGTGGATCCATAATGCATACAGAATCTTGATAGAAAAAATATACACTTTTTTTACCAAAATGCAGCATTACAATAGCACAAGTACCTCTACGTGACATTACTGCTATGATGTACTTAGGCTTACAATGCCTAAGGAAGGAGGAAATCAGTTAGTCAGGAAGGAATGATGATAATAAAACACACACACACACACACACACACACACCTTTTGTATACTCACTCCTTATACTACGTGATATCATTTTAGATGATGTCCCCCCCTCTATTCCTTCAAGGACGGGCCTCCCTTTATTAATTTCCAAAGCCAGCTCCTCTGCAGGAGTGAAGCTGGCTGGTGGTGGCCCTCCCCCAGTGCCAGCAACCTCAGTCTTCTTTTTGGTCGCTGCAATAAAAAAAAAAAAAAAAAAAAAAAACCTGATTAGTTGTAACTTCTAGCTGGCATTAATTATTATGTACATACCATTAGATTTACTTACCATTCTGACCTATATTTTTATATTTTATTTTCACCTGCTGCCAGGTTCTTCTTCCTTCACTTAAGTTGCTGCTGCGTGAAAGCAATTAATGTTACTGTTATTCACACACAAACTTTGCAATGTATTGTGACACCCATTCAATGTTGATAAAGTATTTTAAATAGTTTACACAGCTACTTACGCATTGAGACGATCAGCAATTTCCTGCCAACCTTTCTCTCTTGCTTTATTTATTGCCGCTGTATTGCCTTTTTTAGTGATGACATCTTTAAATTCTTCATATGTTTCCAAAAGCAAACGCTGTTCCGTTGCCGTGAACATCGCTGCTCTATCTTTTCCTTTTGTTGCCATGGTAGCCCACAGTAAATCGATTGACCCATGCTCGACTTTTAAACAATGGCGTGCACGCGCAATTATCTAGACTACTTAAACCTGACTCAAATTAGTAAGATCACATGATCCTCAATTTACTGTTATGGAACCAATTTAAGCGTGGATGTTTAGCTCGGCTCATTCAAGTCAGGTTTTGGACTTTAATCCCCGCTTTTCTAAGCGGCTTTTATGGAACAGCCCCCTGCAGCCTTAGAAGCAGGGATAAGCTCCACAATCCCTGTAATCCTACCGAGGACAAATGATTTGGACAATGCTTTTAAAAAAATGAATATTTGATAATTATAACTGCTAACACTTTAGATTACAGCAGTCGAAGCAGGTTAAAACGAGAATGGGATCCAATTGCAGTACCTTTATTTTTAAACTAAAACAAAGATGATAATCCACAACAAAGAAGATCACAGGGAATAACACCTGGGGCCCGTTCTTCGTACGTTGCTTAAAACATCCGAGATCAAACGATAGACATCCAAGATAATATCATCGTGCTCATCATGATCTGGCTAATTAGGTTCTTCGAACACTCCTGCCGGTTATAATTAGTATTGCTGGATTGAGTTATCTGAGATAATTGCGCGTTCATGCGCTGGGTTAAAAGGGGATATGTATCGATAGTAGAAACATTGATCAGCAACGCTGCTATTGGCTGCTCACCGTGGCCAAACAGCGCGCTCAGTTTTTCACAAGGGGGTAATCCATCGACCGGAAGTTGAAGCCGGCCGGGTACCGCCATCTTGTAGCAGAACTTCACTTGCGTTAGCATTTCCATTGACTACCATTCATTTTGGCGTCACTTTGACAGCGAATAACTTTACATCTGAGGCGTTTAAAGACTCCATTTGTCCATTATTTATTTCTAAAGAAACACGACAATGTATAAATGGCTCCATTACCTTCTATGTTACATTATGGCCCCGTAGAAACAGTTTTAGTAAAAATAGGCTAACGATTGCGTCATAACCACTCGACTCTCTGTCGCGCTGTACAGAAATTACCGTACAGACAGGAGGAGAAGCTCGCAGGCAATCGGGGGGACGTCCCGTCAAGGGAGAAGCCCATAGATAATGAGTCCATAAAAGCAACGGAATACTTACTCCTGCTCACTCACGATAAAGGACTCTTTGCTCAAGTTCCTCGTCTCTGCAAGATTAACGTTGGCAATTTTCACGCACAGCTACTAGAAGATTAGCGTCTGTCAGACAGGTTGCTCACGTCATCAAGCTTAGTTTGAGTCGGTCTGAGTCTGCGCGTCAGGAACGGAAGTTCTCAAAAATCGCTAAAAGTGGGCTTCAACTGTCTCAACTGAGTTCCAATGAGATCGCTCTGTCCATTTCTTTTACTGTCTATGGTTTTTCACCGCAGCAGAAAAGAGAGAGGGCTTGCAAAAAGTAGCAGACAAGTTTGACCATGTCAGATGTTTTTATCACTTATTACAGTACAGTATTTGTATTTTAATAATTTTTAAATAATTAATAACTTTGTTCATTGTAATGTCAGAGTCACCACCCACTACTAGAACATGGGAACAAGTAAAAGTCAAGTACTAGAATATTCTACATAATGGTAATTTGTACTACTTATACTATAGTCTCTTTTAAAAAGGCACTGTTAATAAATGTTTGCCTGTTTATAAAAGCAACCAAGAAAAAGGCTGAGAAAAAAAAGAAAAGAAAAACAAACAGGTGGTGGTCCTGCACCCCCACGTTATACCCAGGCAGAAGAGCTGGCCCTTGGGTTGAATGTGTACCGACCCATTGTGAAGGGCATCCCTGGGTTCAGCTCTTCCTCAGACCCACAGCCAGAGGCCAGGAGCAGCAACTCCTTCACGGCTGGTAAATGAGCTTTAAATTATCTTAGTACACTGTAAAATAATTTGTTGCTGCATTAAATTAAGTAGGCCTATAATCCAAATCATTGGTCCAGTCATATCAACTGTTAAACCTTGAGTAGTAATGAATTACTTTGACTTGTGAAAGTGTACATGTGTGAAATACATGTAGTTAATGTAAAAAAATATGTTGCCATGAGTTATTGATCACATTTCCCCCCAGTGTACTTCATTGTAATGAAATTGTGTTTTCCTCTTTTGTGCAACAACACTTTTATCTGTTCCCAAGAAAGTGTTGGCTGAAGCATGTGCAGTAAGTGGACTTTTCATAACTTTACATCAAAAGGGAAGAAAGTACAACACTTTGTAATGCCCATTTGTGATATGGAACATAGCTAGTAGGCTATATTGCATGTGAGGATGCTGGAGGTGGAGATTTAGCCTTTTCTCACAGCACTTGATATAATCAATATATTATCAATTTGATGGCAGATCCAGAAAGGTTCAAATGACAATCACCAGTGACAACAGATTCACGCGCTGTAAAATGCAAAGACTTCGTTCGGACTTCGGAGTGGCTACAGAAAAAGAGAGACTGGACCCATGCGAAAACAAGGATACATATCGGAAGGACTTTACATGTAGTCACACAATGCTGACGTTGTTAACATTAACAATTTGAGAACAAAGTATAATTTGCACGGTTTTGCATGATATGATAACTTATAAGCGATTGTTAGATTTAATCAGCGTGATTTACTGCAATGTCAGAACCAGAACAAAAGTGGATGTTTCTTACTAGTTCAGATGACATTTTCCGGTGAAAATTCTAATGTTGGTCATACTTCCAAAAAGAATAATCTGTGATTCTGAATGCCAGTCTCCACATCGGCGCGGTGACTGACAGCTGCACAGCACACTCTCCTCAAACACTGTGTTCATCCGCGCTGTGCCGTGCCGAGGGTGTTGAAGAACAACTCACGTAAAGTTGATAATTCCGCGAATGACTGCAATTGCAGATTTCAAACAGAGATGGCGACAAAGAGGAAAAACGCCGGAGCTTTAATGTGCGTTTCCAACAAAATAATAATGTATAAACGACACCCACGATCGTTTCACGCGAAAAAAATATATATCTCAGAAAGTATCCTACACTATCGCGCTGCGCTAAAAGACTTCCCGTATCAGCTCCGCTTATGAAGCCGCGATCTAATCCTGTTAACATGAAATAAGCCTGCTCGCGAGCAGGTTCAAGCTTGTGCACCTGTTGCTATGACAGCAAGTCCAGGATGAGCGTCGAAGAACCAAACAATCCAAGATCATGCCAAATCGCCAAAATCAAATCCAGCTAAGTGAGTTAGCGACGTACGAAGAACGAGCCCCTTTTTGCATAAACAACACAAGACACAGAACGTCTCCAGTTACTTTTGTAACCTCGGTTCCCTGAGAAGAGGGAAAGAGACATTGCGAGCTATGCTATGGGGTGTTGCCTATCCCCTCCTTCCCTTAAAACTGAAGCCTAATTGCACCATGCCAGTAAATTTTACTGGTCAATGGCAAAAGCTAGGGGTGGAGCCATCTGATATAGCTTGGCACTCATAGCCATTGCCTCTGAATCTTTCAACTGAAAATAGCCATTGCCTCTTAATCTTTCGACTGAAAAGCAATATTTATAAGACTGAGGTTTAGACCCAACAGCGTGTGCAATGTCTCATTCCCTCTTCTCAGGAAACCGAGGTTACTAAAGTAATTGGAGACGTTCCCTTTCGAGTCAGTCTCTTGACATTGCGAGCTATGCTATGGGGACAGCATTAAACCCCACCCCGCTGTGGAAAGAACTCGAGCATAGCGAACAGAGGCACAATTAATAAGAAAGCTTGAGCCCTTTGACTGCTTACATACTGTAACAGGGACAACAAAATGAGTATTTAGTGTATTTTACCCAATAGGGGTTAAATAAAGCCTAGGTTCGACTCTAGGAGGATTAAAAGTAAAAATTTGGGCCAAATTCAATTCAATTAACAGCCGGCAATTTTTATTACAAAGACTCAAAAAAAAAAAAAACGTAGTAGATAGTAAACAATTTTTTACATTAAACACAATTGTCTGGTTTCCACTCAACACCAATAACCAACAAAAAAAAATGGTTCGTATTGAGCTCAAAGTTGAATGTGAAGTCCAAGAATAAAAAAATAAATAAAAAAAGTCTCAATCCTTCTGGATCTCTTGTGTGTGTGTATAATTTTCAAATGTCCATGTGTGTAAAGGCCTTTTTGTGTTTTCTAGTGTGTATGTGCTTAGCTCTCAGTTCAGATCCGTGTTGAATCACGATGATTCTTTTGAATCGTAGATCAGGGTCTGGCTCGCCGTTCAAAGGTGAATCACTCAAACAGAATCTGCATAAAAAAATTAAAAAAATCTGCACAAAACAATGCAGTCACATTAATCATTTCTTAATGTCAACAATTTCTACACCGACATTTACTATCAGCTGCACAAAATGTCTGTGAGTACAAATGTTAATCCAAACATATGACAACACAAGTGCACATAAGCACGCTTAAACACATAAAAGTGTTTAAATCTGCAACATATCTCGTTGTGAAATATATTTTCTTCTTCTTGTTTGCATTTACATACTCATAGATGATGCAATCATTCAATCAAACAGTTAAACTCAGGTCGTACACCAATTAA